TTTTTCAATTCTCGCCTTTCTTATATTATTATTATTTTAATCTCGATATTTAATTATTATTATTTCATAAATACGGGTAGAACGTAATTAGAATAACAAAAATTAATCTAATTATAATGATAAAAGTTAGAAAATAGAATCATCTGTTTTCATCACCTACTTTCATGATGGATGCTAAAATAGTCACAAAATGAAGAATAAAAAGTTAAAAAAAGTTACATTTATATTCTTTTTCTTCATTATTTTCTTATAAATTACTCGCACTGCGGAAGGTATAAGCTTCATCCAACTACAATAGTTCACAATAATTCAAGAATTATAACTGATATTCGCGACAATTATTGTGATCGCTTGGTAAGGAAAGGCGATGATCGTGATGGAGCTATTTTCATATAGATACTCTAGAAAGAGCAAAGCCGCGATTCGAATGGGTCAACGAGTGCCAGTTCGGCCATATTTCGGCCAATCGTTCCTTGGGTAAACTTCAAACGGCTCTGCTTTTACGAAATAAAATCGAATGGAAGAGACAAAAGCGCTAAAGTTAGGGGATAGAGAATACACCGCATCTTTTGTTATAAACGGAATTCAATATCCAATGGATCCTGAATTTATCTCATGACAAAGCTTAAAATTTCTAACGTATCAAAATTGAAAAAAATTTTCTTACGCTCATGTATATTTTGTTATCGAACGTGTAACGTAGCGAAAGCTCGTTAAACGGAAATATAGAAAATTTTCACAACATTATTATTATTTGTACAACAAGCATTAAGAGCATTAACTAGGATAAAAGAGCGTTGGCTTTTTCGATTCTGCAGCTTCCATTACTAGGATTATAGAAACTGTTTCAAGCTGATTCGAAATACGTTGACCGAAATACGAGCGAGCTACTGGTCCATTCGCGTCGGTTGTGCTCTCTAAAAACTGCATCGATCCGAGAATGCACCTTCTCCTCGTTAGCGAGGATAAATTCCTCGGATCGAAGCAGCATTGGCACGGGATATGTCGGCGCTCTGAGGCGCTGAACTTTTCAATTTGCGCTGAAAAGTCCCGCCCGGCTAATGCTCGTAATCAATACACCCGGCGTGGACGCGTATTATACGTAAACGCGTGCACACTTCGGGGCAGGCAAATGTACAAGCGGGGGTGGATACACAAGATGTCCCCAAGAGGGTCGCGGTGGCACTCGAGATCGAATTTGCGGTGGGAATTATAAATTACGCGGCAGTGACGCCCGAAATTGGATCGAGGAGAACGAGGGAAGGGGGAATGATGTTCTTGGAGGTGATATCAGGAATGGTAACTGGCGAATCAATTTTTGACGTCGCCATTGCCGGGTGCGTGATCGAAATTTACACTTTACACTTCGACGGAACGCGTCGAGTACCTGCGCTCGCGGGCGGCTGACGTATTTAAGACCGCGACTACTGTAAAATTACTCGGTGCCAACATCAAATATTTCAATTTGAAAAATCCCGCGTGATGTAACTTTACATCTTTCTTGCAACTTTTTTTTACTCACTGTAAAACAAAAATTTTCGAAATTAGCACAAATTATCGTTTATCATTTAATGAAATTTGTATTAAATATTTTTACCGTAGAGGTTGTTGCTCGCATGCATGGGTATTAACGGCAAATTGGAATATTTGTTGATACGCACGTAGCTTCGGTAATTTATTTACAATACGTAAAGCTGCATGTAAAAGAGCTCGAGCCTTTTAACCCGTAGCGAGCTAACGCGTACACGTACGCGATACTTTTTCATCCGCGAAATTAATCCGTGGCATGGGGAAAGATGAAACATACACGAGATCCAATTGCAATCTGGTTAACGTATTAATTACCTGATACGAAAATTCGATCCTATCGAAAATGTTGGCTAATTAATGTTACATAACATTGAATTTAACAGCCGATTTCGATTTCAAAATTCGTGTGGGATATGGGATTTATCAGCAAACCGCAAAATAATTAAATTATCTTTACAAATCGTAAACTTTTTTATGCAATTTTAGATTTAACAGAATAGATTTTCGAGACATTACAGACATATAATAACAACGTAATAATTACGATATCTACGAAAAACCGAAATTTTAATATCTTGTTCTTCTTCAATCGGTTATCATCAAACTAATGAACTAATCGTAATAATTAACTTTAAAAGGCCATCGTAACGATGATACACGAAGAGACAAAGGTGATGATTCAAAGATCACGTTATTCACAACAATCTTCTTTAAATCAACCGTGATTTGATTGTAGTTACACAGCAATGCTTCGGGGCCGAAGCTAAAATACCAATACTCATTTGGCCGCTGTCCGCCACAGCACCGGTTTTGCAAAAAGCGTTAAAATCTGCCTGAATGTTCAGTCGGGCATCGAATTGTCGATAAGGTTAAAACGCATGACATCACGACGTACTGATTTGAGGGAGATTGATGAGAGGGAAGGAGAGAAAGAGAGAAAACATGCGGTTTCCCACCATATATGGTTATGCGCGTGTGTGCGTGCGTGAGAATGTGCACCCGGTTAAATCGGTGTATTGTTGGGGATGGCCAGAGATGCGAAACGATTTGAGGTCAGTGTGTTACACGGACATGCCGCGGTACGTTGACTTTTTTGCCGTACCGGTTTTTCATGACCGAGCGTTTTACCCGCAGACTGTTTTCCCGCAATTTGTGCGAGAAACGTGCGCTAGTCGTGCCTTCCTAATTTTTTTTTTTTTTTTTATTCACACGCATTTTTGCACTGATAATGCGGGAAAAATATCGACAATATGTTTCAGCCTATTTTTATTGTATAAAAAGGAATGATCGAGCACACGACGTCTTTCTTTAATTTACGAACAGTAATGTTCTTGTTCCATAATTAATTTTACATTATACATTATGCATTATACACTATCTAATTAATTGCGTTGTATTAATTGTTAGACTACTGTAGAGAGATTTAATGTAACATGTAGAATATTAAAAATAGCTCATAATCACACATACAGAAATTAATATAATAATTAATGTAATTATAAAAATTTTAATTAGATACTTTTGACTCTGACTTTAATTTATTCAGAATAGAATATTTTTCATAAAAAAAAAACAATATTCATTATAATAAATAATTATTGTCGTGAATAATTATTGTCGTAAATGTAAATAAAAAATGAAAATATAAAAATCTGCATAATGCAAATGCTAATTTAAAATATAGGAATATGTGTACTTTTTGTATATGTGCATATATATCAATAATTTTTTTAAAAAGATTGAAAGAGGAAATAATAATTTCTTGTCAATCACTTTCATCGACAGCTTATTATTAAACATCGTATTATTTCTATAAAATAATTTTATATAGAAATCATTATAATTGAAAAATGTATCGATATTGTCGATTATGCAAGTTAAACGTAACAACAAGCAACATGTTGGAAATTTGTTTAAAAGTTTTTCATTATGGCTAGCAATATATTTCTACGCGTGCAGATGGCGGCCAAGAACGAAGAGAAGTTCCAGCATCGTATATTTTCTCCCTTCTTCCACCGTTTCCATTATGCATACAACATATTTGATGGCCGGCGCGACTATGAAAAAAAAAAAAAAAAAAGAAGAGACACAACCTTAATCTCGATCTAGTGTTCCCTTCTTCTTTGCGCATTTTATTTCGAGGTCTTCTTCAAAGAAGAAGCTTCTTCTCTTGCAAACGTAGATAGATACAAATGCCCAGCATTTTGCCTTGCGTTGAAAAAAATGTTTATTGTAGCGTGTTCTTGAAATATAATATGTATCGCTTCGCGTGTTCGATATTCATGTCCTTTTGAAAAGGGGATAATGGGGAAAAAGCTCTCTGATTCGATATTAGCGTTATATTTCGAATAAAAATTATTTCGATTTTAATATGAATGAACATTTGACAACAGAATTCACATTGCAGTTATTATATACTGTTATCTCCAATTGTCAGATAGAAATATTAATTATTACTAATTATAATGCGTATCCTATTGTATTACTAATTATAATGCGTATCCTATTGTACTCTCTTCCTCTCCATTGTTGTATAATAAGACAAAAACTTTCCTTTCATATGCATTTCCTCCCGCTGCTAGACGAATTTTCAAATTAGTGGTGTCTATTAAGAAGACTTAATAAGTCGCTATAATCCGCTGAGACAACGATTCTTGTCATCGTTCATAATCAATTACAAACTCGTCTGTATTCAGGTACAAACTTTGCGAACGGCGGAAGGATTAAACTATCCTAACGGAGTTCTATTTTCTCAGGGAGGAAGACGAGTTCATCAACCGAGAGTTTGTTAAAGGATCTACTTATATCTCACACGTCACTAAGTATTTACAACGTGTCTTAACATATGGTATCGTATACATTATAATAAGACATTTATATTTATGATAATTACCAATTTTAAAAGAAAGGAATAAATTAGTTTCCGTTTAGCGACCTTTTAAGGAAAATATAATCTTCTACTAAACATGGTCCAAAACTAAAAAAAAAAGAAACTTTTTATAATAAATATTAACTTTGTTTAAACTTCCGCTACCTTTTTTACGCATCTTTTTTTTTTTCACTTATACGTCGCCATTATTAATTCACCTTTCATCATCGATACTTCCCCCGCGTCTCTAAGAATCTATTCTAATGATATTTTTTTATATAATCGCATTTTTGCGAGAGAATCACGTCTACTCACATCGCACGTCGAATCTCACTTCGATGCTAGACGACATGGTGGGATTGGCGTACGCCGGATGGATGGCGACGCATCTGATCGGCTGGCCGTAACGTGATCGCTCAGCCAGAATCTCGCAAACACTGTAGGTTGCCCAAGTGCGCGGATTATCTATCTCGGTCGAGTTTACCTGGGGCCGCAACGTCCTCAGCTCGGTCTCGCCCACGTACCTGCATATCGCCCCGAAAATTTGCATTTCCAATGGCTGTTCTGCAACAACTCTTACTCGCCTCCCCTTCAACACTCTCCTCTCCTCCGTCATCTTCCTCCTCGGACTCGCTCTATCTCGCGCACGTTCCCCGTTTCGCCGCCGCTCTCTTTCTCTCTCTCTCTCTCTCTCTTCTTTCTCTCTCTCTATCTTTGCCTTACCCTCTCGCCCTCCTGCCCTCGTGCCTTTCCCAACCTTCCCCATCAAGGCTCATCGTCGCGGATTATTCAGAATTCTGCTCTTCGGGAGTCTTGCAGTTTCGCGGACTCTGACTAACGGCGGCACTCTCGTGAATTAAGCCTCTCGGTGCTCAGTTATTATAGTACGAAAGATAATATGAAAGGGTAATATGAAAACGTAAATTCGTATCTTGTAAACATAAAGGAGCAAATTGTTATTATTATTCACATCGCTGTGAATTCGCATATTACATTTATCTCGAAAGGGTCGTTCACGATTCGCGTAACAATTACCGCGATAGCCAGTCTCGTTCGTTGACGATTGTCTTTTTGGGGATGGAAACTCGATACACGCCGTCGATTGCGCTTCGGTCTCTCCGCTCGGTAATAATTAATACGTTTATGCATACACATATTCCGCGCTGCGCATCGCGTATGTCAATTAGGATAATTCCCAGTGAGTAAGTGGGTAAGCGAGAGTAGCTGAGGGTTGATGGCGAAGGACGGTCTCGCTTTGTCAAGGGACCTCGTCTACAATTTGAAGCGCAACCCCGAGGCTCTACTGACGCCCCGTCCTGCTAATCGAAAATTGCAAGGTTTAAAGCCGAGAGAGATTGCGTCTCTCTCTCTCTCTCTCTCTCTCTCTCCTCCCTCCCTCCCTCTCCCGTCCTTGTTTTTATTCCGTCGTAAAACTATTAAACCCTGCTCCCGTGAGCTTTTTCCACGCTCTCGAAACGACTAAACCGAATCGTCGGGATTCAAGAAAAACCGGACCGAAAATTTTGTCTTCCGCTCACCCCCTTTCGTGAGACTCCCGTTCCGGGAGTTTTCCGTCACACAAAATGCATCGTGTAGCTCCTTAATTTCGCCCGGGCACGATGCAGAATGGATCATGATTATTCATGGGGCGCGTGTTCTGCTATCGACATCGTCCTCGATGCATTACGTGGAATCTTCGAGCAGCGAGAACAAGCCCAAAGCACTTCAACAACGACCGAAGAAGAGGTACACCGATGGTAGAAGACGCCTTGAAATCGATAGTAACGTATATTTTGATTACCTGGGACAGCTTCAATCACGAAGCCCAAAAAGCTTTCCGATAGAAAAAAAATCATCGCGAAGAGCAGGTTTTTCAAAATCGCTATCAGAAGAGAGAAGAGAAATTGCCTTCGATAAAGTAAATGAAGCGACAAAATTACATTACTGGTTTGAAAATTACCATTTCGCAATTTCTTCCGCAATTAGAGACGCGACGTAACTGTC